TATTTATTGACAGTATAACCACACATAGTTCCATAAAACTTTGAAAGACTCCCTTCCTTCTTCCACTTCCCAACTGTCTTAGGGGTGAAATGTTATAGGGAACAGTCTAAGTCTACAGATATAATGGATCTTAGGCCTAGAGTGAATTCATTCTTCTAAGGGAGAATGTGAATTGTTAGTACTCATTTGGTCCTGCTGTGCTTTCACTGATAGCTTTAAAATACTGTTATGGCAGAAACATCTATTCATAAACCACTCTCCCTCTCCAAAACCCTCTCTGTGCACTTAGTCTCAGGAAGTCTGAGGACAGGTCCTAGAAAACTAGGAACTTGAAAATCACAAAACTAGTCCACTGTGAATTTGAAACAAGTCTTGTCCACACAGTTCAATAAAACACACTCACACCCCTTTTTCTGACTTCAATAGGACTGAAATGAGCATCGACACTTTTGGAGAACATATTAATTGTCTGAACTATATGTTCTTTGGTTCTCTAAGGGCTATGGCTGATAGTTTATAAATTCTGCAACTAAAAAGGACACCTTAGGTCTGTATTTTTTTCTTCCTCATGAAGGGTCATATATTTTGTGCCATGTCAGCTTCTTTCGCTCTTTAAAAAGTGCTCGTGTTATTCAATAGCTATTTGCATTGCTAATTCTAATTTTCTAGTTAAGCAAGAAAACACTTTTTTTTGTTCCACATAAAGAAAAAAAATAACACTTTTGCAGTGATTAGTATAATAATTAAAATTTATGTGCTACACACCATCCTAGTTTTGCAAGAATCATTGTATGTTGCCTTCAACTGTCTCACAATCTTTTCAATTTTCCTAATACTTTAAATAGGGAAAATACAATATTCTTCATAAGGGATAATAAATAAAAGAACTTGATTAAAAATATTTCTATTAAGGGGCACCTGGGTGGCTCAGTGTGTTAAGACTCTGCTTTCAGCTTAGGTCATGATCTCAGGGTCCTGGGATGGAGGCCTGCATCAGGCTCTCTGCTTGGCAGAGAGCCTGCTTTCCTCTCTCTCTCTCTCTGTGCCTCCCTCTCTGCCTACTTGTGATCTCTGTCTGTCAAGTAAATAAATAAAATCCTTAAAAAAAATTTCTATTCATTAGGTACTTTTAATTACCACATGCACAACCTTTTCTTGGATCACACATGCTCTTTAATCCCCCTTCCAAGGAAAAAAGATAAGGTAAGTTTCCTAACTAGGTTAATTAACCCTGGTTAGTTAGGAAGACTTATTCTCCAGTTTGCCTGGGACTCTGAGTTTTAGCACTGAATGCTCGCAGTCTAGGGAAACTAAGGTGGTTGGTCACCCTAACTCCTGTTCGTCCTCCAGCTATTTCCTCTTCTATCCTTCACATCAAAATTTCTCCACTGAATATCCTACACTCTTCTTCTCCATGTCTTAACTCTCTCATTTACTCCTGAACTTATTGCAACTGTGCCTCTGCCTCGAGGCATGCCTCTGGCTCCGTTCTCCTGCAATTTGCAAGCGGCTCCAATGACCTTTATCTTTCAGGAAAGGAGACTTGTAGTTCTTACCTCAGTGGCCCCTGCTGCTGGATTTTATACTGCAGTTCATGCCCTCCCTGACATTCTTTATTCCCAAGGCATATACAGTATTCCCCCTTAATCACAGGAGAAATGTTTCAAAGCCAACAATGGATGCCTGAGCTTGCAGATCATACCAAACCCTACATATGTTTTTTCGTATACATACATCCTTATGGTAAAATTTAACTGATAAATTGGGCACAGGAAAAGGTTAACAACATTAATAAAATATAATAATTATAATGATATACTGTAATAAAAGTTATATGCATGTGGTCTCTCTCTCCAGCATCATATTGTACTGTATTCACCCCTGTGATGACATGAGATGACAAAATGCTTAATGAGGAGATGAAGTGAGGTGAATGACGGAGGCATTGTGACAGAGTGTTAGGCTATTATTGACCTCGTGACCATTTGTCAGGAGGATCATCTGCTTCCTGACCATGGCTGACTGCTGGTATCTGAAACTATGGAAAACAGAACCACAGATAAGGGGGCACTACTGTATAAGAGCACAGCTTCTTAGGCCCTGACACTGTTCTCTTTGACTCTTAGTAATGAGATCATCTCTCTCCAATTGTCTTCTGAAAGATGATTTTCCTCAAGATTCCATACTATACTCCGTCTTTCCCCCTTATCTTCTAGAAGCCCTTTCCCTGGCTGATCTCACATACTTTCATGCTTTGAGCCATTCCCTCCATTGAATAGTAACTTTAGAACCTATGCTTGCCATCCAGACTTTTCTTGAGAGCCAACTACCTATTAAAACATCTGTACCTGTATGTCTCAGATGCACTTCAATAATTTAACATTTTTAATATGGACTCTAATTACCTTCACTATGATCTTCCTGTTTCTGGTTTTTTCTTTGTTTTGTTTTTGAAGATTTATTTATTTATTTGAGAGAGAGCACAAGTGGAAGGGGCAGAGGGAGAAGGACAGAGATTCTCAAGCCAACTCCACACTGAGCACGGGCGCCTGACATGGGGCTCAAACTGAGATGTCACCAAGAGTTGTATATTTAACCAGCTGGGCCACCCAAGTGACCCTCTCTCCTCTTTGTTTTTGGAATAATCAACCATTATTTACATAGCCAAACATCTTAATGTTATCTTTGAGTGTTTTCTCCTTCATCTTCACTGACCCAGTAAGTTGTTCGATTTTACCTCCTAAAGAGTTCTTAAACTGGTCCTTCCTTCTCCATTCTTTATCATTTCCTAGTTTCAAGAAATTTCCTTTTGTCTGAAATATCACTGCTGTAGCCTCCCAAATCATCTTACTGCTCTAGCCTTGCCTTCAAAATCTGTCCTGCTTAATGGAGCTTAATAGTTTCAGGTACACAGTACATACTACAGTGTTTCCCAAGGCAGTACTTAGGTAAAAGGAAGGAAAGAGAGAGAGAGAAAGAGAGAGAGAGGGAGGAAGGGAGAGAAAGAGAGAGAAACGAAGGAAGGAAGGAGGGGAGGAAGGGAGAAAGTAGGAGGTGAGGGGGAAAGAAGAGGGAAAGAAAATGTTTACACTCTCAGGGTAACTGCATACAGTAAATTAGTGTTTTGAGACACAATTACAGATATAATGTAGAAGTAGTTTAAAAGCCCAAATAATTCAAAATATACTTTCTTTTAAGCCTTCGGATTGGTTAGAAAATATATTCCCATCTAAATGAGCAATTCATTAAATTTTTTATACATGTTTAATTCCTATTAAATGTACTCAATTGTAATGTGGCTTTTTTAAATATTTAATTTGTTTATTTGACAGACAGAGATCACAAGTAGGCAGAGAGGCAGGCAGAGACAGAGAGGAAGGGAAGCAGGCTCCCTGCTGAGCAGAGAGCCTGATGCGGGGCTGGATCCCAGAACCCTGGGATCATGACCTGAGCCGAAGGGAGGCTTTAACCCACTGAGCTACCCAGGCGCCACTGTAATGCATTTTTTTATACCCCTTAAAAATGGTTTAATCTTAAGAGCACTGAAGACATTTTATATTTTGTATAATTTTAGAGGATATAGTAGGGTTTACATATAAAACTTAGGCTTATCTAGCACATTTTTAAATGGCATCACAACATATTTTCTCAGTTTTAAAGAATTATAGTTCAGAAATCAAACCTTAAAAACATGTTTTATCATAATATTTTGAAATGAAAAAATTGGAAGAGAAATATATACTTTTTGTAATTTTCAAGTACATAATGTTTAAGCTACCAACTTGATTTTAATTTAGCTATAATTTTCAAGTATATTTCATAAGACTTAATGAAAACTTAAGCACAACTTTTATGTTAATTAATTTTTATTGAGTTAAAAAGAAGAGTCTAAAATACTGTCAAAAAATTTTTTTTCTTCCAGTTTTCACACTGTCTTATGGTAACATTTAATGGTCCTTCTGGTATTCTTAGCTCATTGACTAGTGTGATTAATATTACTATCATTTGCCAGATGCTTAGTCTTTATAGAAAAGAATGCAATTTTCAAGATTTTTTCCATCTTATTTAGTCCTTTGTATTTTACCAAAAGGTTAAAGCTGTACAGAATAAAAAATATGTATCAAAATATCTCCTTTCATTTTTATGAGAAATCAATCTGTAATATAAGAAAGATAGAATCCTATAGTATTCTGAATGGAAAAGTAAGATAAATGTAGATCATTTTAATTTCTAATTTCATTAATATTAAACAACCAGTTGTTTATGTAATACAATTCATTCACAACAATCAACTATCTTCAAATAATTGTTGTTTACTTAAGGGCAACAGTTTTATACAGTGAGAAATCTAATACCATTTAATGCAGCATGATGGGCTTCATATATGTATCAGAAGTGTTCAATGAATTTTGAAACTTAATTTAAATCCTTATGTTTGTGTGTGAATAAGTATGCTTGTATATTCATAACTTTCCATATTTTGCAGTGCTGATTTTAAGAGTTTCAAAAAAATATAAGAGAAAATGAGCTGCACATTTGACTTCCAAAAATATCTGAACTTGCTACTTATGAGATCTTTAATTCTTGAAAATTTGTGGGAGTATTTATTTTCATTAAAACAAATTTACTTTGATTTCATATTTAAATGAACTGAAGTCTTAGATTAGTAGTAGTTTTCTAAGGTAGATAGTTTCTGGAAAGTTAATTAAACAAGATGATTTCTACTCTGTGGCTGTACATACACATAGAAAAGCATTTCAGGATCCTGCCACACTCAAGTCTTTAGCACAGTCTTCATTTTTCTTGATTCAGAGAGATATAGCCCTGTATCTCAAATATGGCTGTGGGAAGCCATCTCATCCCAGTTTGCCTGAGACTTTCTGATAAAATGAATATCTCATGTCCTAGGAAATCCCTTAGCCCCAGAAAAACTGGGACCATTGGTAAACCTACTGAAAGATGACCTAAACTTTGAAACTTTGAGTTAAAAAGGGCCTTACCTTAACATCATTGATGTTCATTCTTGTTCCCTCCTTTCCCACAAAAATATCATCAATATCCACAAGAATGTACCTGTCCAAGGACAGTGTCAGCCTCTTTCCTGACAAGAAGGAAACAGCGTCTATGAAGATGAGCTTATGCAACCAAAAGTTCAAGTTGTTGCCAAAAAAAACTCTTTGAATTCCATCATGAAGCCCCAAGTCATGTATGACAGTGGCGTAAAAAGCACCTTTGGAGATGGGAGGAGAAAGGTTCTCTGGGGTCTTTACTTTGGCAAATATGACTGGTTGGTAGGCTGAGTGATTAATCTGGAAAACTGTCCAGTCTGTTCCAGGTAAAGAACCTTTTTCCAGCTTGGAAGATTTGGTCACATGAAGCAATGGAGAATGAGGGTTAATACAACAATCTTTTACTGCAAGGTTTCCATATATGGAGAAAGGGAAACCTTTCAACTGAAAGCTCTGTAGACTCTTCTCGCTAGTTTTGTGGAATCCAATGATACCCACACCATATTCCACACAGTATTTATCTAAAAGGCTTCGGTTCCAAGAGTCCATATTTATATACTTTAATATATTCTCATAAATAATGAGAACATATTTGCCTTTAGTTTTTTCTGTAAGTGCTGGGAGATCCCCCTTTCCAGGAGCAATTTCAATGTGATACTGAAATCTACTGGATTCTAGAATCATAATTATGTCTTGACCAAGTGATGAGTATTGGCTCTCCACAAACACCAGGACTGTGGGGTCTGTCCTTGAGGCATCAGAAAGCTTCATTGTCTTGACTTCCATAAGCCTGTAAGGTAGGTGCTGGAAATCCCCACAGTCCACTTCGGACATCATCTCAGAGGGTTCATTTTCCTGTTTGTAGCCACTGTACAGGTAGTATGCAGATATAATAATGCTCACCATACAAAATGTGGCGAGCAGAATAACCGTCCTTTGAAAGTGTCTGTGAAGCTTCATGATAAAACTCATGTTGCATATACTTCCCTCAGACTGTTCCCAATAGAAGCACCATAAAAAAAAAAAAAAAAGAAGAAGAAGAAGAAGAAAAAGAAGGAAAGAAAATATAATATTCGGCTACTTTTCCAGTCTCAGTCGATAGTTTATGTCACCATCGCAGCGCATTTGTGTCACTTGATCAGGACTCACAGAAAATATAGCCTGGAAAGTAGAATAAAATAGAAAAGAATATCAAACATTCATTCTGTGGCATTAAAATGAACCAGTTTTTTTCCTGCCTATTGGCACGAGTGGCAACCTGTTAGGCAGATGAATGGGTGTACGGTCTGTAAGAAAGCCTCTTTTTCCTCCTGCCAGGTCTGGATGAGGACATGGGAGAGAAAGAAATGGGAAAAGGGCTCCATATAACAGAGGCTGTCTATCCTTCATATAGAAAATACACTGGACTAACCAGAAATTTCCTTTTATTGACTGAGCTTTGCATCAAATTTTGTAGATAAAACATACCTAAGACCACAGAGAGGTCACCTGAGCTGTGCACAGCCCTATTATGTAATGCATACATGATGCACATGTACTGAACATTCATAAAAGTGTCATGTTTCATTTGGTGCTGTAGTTAAGACACTAGTTTCTGCTGTTTGGAAAAGAGCACAGTAATTACATGAAAAAAGTAGGATAAAAAGTAGTATAAAAAAGTTTTTTAAGAACAATGAAAATAACTAAAACTTCATGAAACACCTTGTCATGCTATAATTTTAAATCCCTTTCAAGACTTACTAATCTTAGAAAAATTTAGTAACTTTTGAAAAACAATAAGAAAGAAACCCAAGTGCTTCTTAGAGCAGAAGTTTATTAGAATCTTATGGTGCTGCCACTTTTTGAGGAAATATGCACCATAAAAGAATTAAGGAAGGTCTTCTTATTGTCCAGAAGGCAGACTGAAAGGGTTCACTGAACCTCTACCTCTCATTAATTGTGTCACTTTGGCCCTAGTATCTTTTAAGTAAAATAGTAAGGTTAGAGTAAATGATCAGCAAGAACATTCTGGCTCTAAAATTCTGTGATATTCACCTATGAAATAAGCAATGAACAATATTTGGAATAATATATGTTTATCTTTATGAATAATACATTCTGGCTTAGGGGTGCCTGGGTGGCTCAATAGTTAAGTGTCTGCCTTTGGCTCAGGTCATGATCCTGGGGTCCTGGGATCGAGCCCTACATTGGGCTCCCTGTTTGGCAGGAAGCCTGCTTCTCCCTCTCCCACTCCCCCTACTCGTGTTCCCTCACTCACTGTGTCTCTGTCAAATAAATAAATAAAATTTTTAAAAAATTACATTCTGGTGTATAACTGCAGGATATTTACAGAATAGGATACTTATAGATAGGTTATTTATCCTGTAAATTATTCGTTCAAATATATAGGGCATCTATATCATTCATTCAAATATTTATGGAGTAACTATCTATTTAAAATATAAATGGTCAACAGAGTGAATTTCCTTAAGGTTTCCAAAATTATAGAGACGGTGACTAGCATGACAATAGTAAATGATTGTTGATTAGAGACAAATGCCTCTGATGGGATGAGAGAAGTGACTATAGCAAGTGGGGAAGCCTGAAATGATGGAGGATTTGGGTAGAGCCTTGAAGGTGAGGGTAATGTAAGTAGAAATGCGAGATGGAGGGGATTTATAGACGCAGGGGTGAGCACAATATTGGGCAAGGAACACTCTGACAAAGAATGGAAGACAAAGGTATGAAGTCCCCCCCTCCAGATAAATTTTACAGAGTATGGGTACCTTAGATTATGGGGAGACTTGATAGCATACAAGTTCATGGTTGAGAAAACTCATCAGGAGCCATTCTACTTTCCTACTTTGGGGAATAACATGGTAAGGATGAGATTTTTCAGGAAAATGAACTAACCAATAACATGGAGGATATTCTAGAGCACTGTTAGAAAGTAAAGGCTGGCAAACTGGTGCAGCCTCGTTTCTCACAATCAAGTCATAAACTGTTAATGATCTTGGTCATAAGTCAGGGAGAATGTGGGAAGAGGCAAGCAAATCAAAATTACCAGGACAACACAGAATTTCCACTGTAATTGTAGTTATTTCGTTTTGGAAAGTAATTACAATTTAAAAGTTATGTACATGTTTATGAATAATATAATATTCTGGAGTATAGTGGGATATAAAATCTCATATCTTTCTATGCCTGTTTCAATTTTAGCTCTGAGGTGTTTTTGACTGGATACAAAATGTATTACTACATTTTGCATTTCAGAGAGCAGCGTTTCATAGTTTATTCTTGTTGTCAGAAGTGAATGGCATGTAACTCATACTAATCTTATCTGTGATGAGGCAAAGTGGTGAGGAGGACTTGTTCTCACTATTTAGGATGGATATTAGGGACCTATTAAAGCTACCTTCTCCATTACCTGGTGTAAAATACTGAAAGACCTCTCTTTTATATTAAACTCTTCAAGTTTCCTCCTGAAGCCAAGGGAATTCCCGTGTATGTCTCTGAGGGTAGGATTTGGTCTAAGATAGTGAAATGGACACATTAAGATTCTCCAAGTCTTCTTCTTCTTCTTTTTTTTTTTTTTAAAGATTTTATTTATTTATTTGACAGAGAGAGAGATGACAAGTAGGCAGAGAGGCAAGTGGGGGGTGGGGGGGGAGCAGGCTCCCTGCTGAGCAGAAAGCCTGATGTGGGGCTCGATCCCAGGACCCTGAGATCGTGACCCAAGCCGAAGGCAGAGGGTTTAACCCACTGAGCCACCCAGGCGCCCCCCTCTCCAAGTCTTCTTTAAGCCTTTTTTGACAGCACACTTCACTGTGACCAAATTTGGTCCCTGGTATAGACTCTCAAAAGTTACTGTTCCTACTGCAACCTCATCCACCCCAACTACTTCCCATTCTCTCTATGCCTGTTGGCTCTGAAATCACAGAATATAGTGAACTGTTGCTGTCCCTCCTGCGTGGGATGGTGCTCTAGCAACTTCTCCTGAGCCCTTCACTGGGGGGCGGGGATCACTAAGAAGACAGGAACATGTGGAAAATGAAGCTCCTCTACACAGTTCCCCTGTGAAACCTTCTCAGATGGAGCTGACCTTCCAAACGTGGTCAGATCAGCAGTGACACGTGCTGTTGTAGAAATGTTATCTTCTTTGTAATTCTTGACACTATTGTAATTAAAATTTTGTTTGTCAGTCTGTCAGTCTCTCTTATCCAACTGTGAAACACTCTAAGAGGGTAGAGATAAGGCCTCTATCCTTGAGCCCCTAGGGCCAGTGACAGAATAAGCCCCCAGGGGACTGTTCGTGGAATTGGTCGAATACAATGGCGTATTAACCTTCCAGGCTAATTTGGCAATTCTACTTTATTCTGATTTCATAACTTATTTTTAAGGTTACACATCACTATTAATATGATTATAATTATCTATACATGTATAATTATCTATACATACAATTATCTATACATATAATTATCTATGCATTAGCTGGATTTAAGTCTCTGTTTTATTTAATTCTAAGAAAATATAATCATACTATCCTAACATAGGATAAAGGAAGCCACTATGGTAGATGTTGTATCTTCACCCGCCCAAAGATACCTATCAATTAATCACCCTGCCGTTGGTCATCAGGTATTGAACACCTAGTTTGGGCTTAGGTACAGGGGACACCACAGAGATAATATTAAGAGTGATTCTGGTCTGTGGAAGCATGGTCTCTGCTGGGGGAAATGACTTGTGAAACAACAGTCAACACTATGTTGTACATAAGAGGCAGTGGTTAAGGCTGTACAGACTAGATTTGTTATAAGTTTCAAAACAAATATTATTGATTAATTAAAGATTAATGACATTTAGGAAAGCAGTTTCTGCAGACATGGTGCTTGAGGACATGACATGACGGGCAAGATTTGGATATGAGGGTGGGATGAACATGTTAGGCAAAAGCATCTGGCAAGGGTGGGGGGGTCCCTGGCTGGCTCAGTGGGCGGAGAGCATGTTACTTGATCTTGGGGTTATGAGTTCAAGCCCCACATAGGGTCGGGGGAGAGCTTACTTAAAATACCTGGCAAGGTTGAAGAAATGAAATGGTTACTATATGTTTATCTGAGAGTGAGACTAAACTAATATGATACCTTGTGTTGGGTTGAAAATGGAAATAATATTTCATTCAAGGAGTCCTGCAGATTAATGTATGTCCTTGGAAGTGACTGTGAAGCACAAAAGTGTGGAGTTGGAAAAGGACAGCACTAGATGAATCTGAACAGAAGAGAGACAATAAAAATAATCACATTTACAGGTGATGAGTGTAGCAGCGGCATCCAAAATGGGCAAACAGCAGTCACATGAACAGAAAGAGTATATGCTACATTGTACAGAGTGAAGAAGGGCGTACAGTCAGGACAGTCCCACTGAAGGAGCCGCTGCGCCATCTAGGTGGGGGGTCCTGGGGGTCCAGACTAAGGTGGTTATCAGGGAGAATGAAAATGAAGAGAGACAGGAGAAAGACAAAAAGGAAATGATTACTGATAAATTATGCTTGGGGACTAGAAGAATAAAAGTGCCAGTATTAGAAATATACAAACTTAGAGTGGAAATTGGCTTGAGCTAATCATGTTCACCTAAGGTGTAGACAGGTGACTATATGATGCTCAGGGAGATAGCAAGATCACAATGTTCTGTAAAATAGGTGGATGTTGACAGAGGAGATAAGGAAACATTTGAAATTAATGGGTCATAGGTGAATCTGGATATGCTGCACAAACTCAGTTCCTCAGGAAATACTTTTCTGACCAAGTTTACTTCTCCCCCTTTAGACCAGGTCCCCAGGTGATGTAACCTAATTATAATTACATTTTATTTCAGGCTTTTATCACAATTCTTACTAAATATTATTAGCAACATTATTTGTTTAATGTCTCTCTTTCTTGTTAGACTGTAATTTCCAAGGGTATAGGGTTTGTGTCATTCCCAGTAATCTTTCA